GCACTCTTGCTGCACAACGCTGGCACAACCCGCCAGGAACATCGCAGTTCAAAAACCGAACTGAATACACTATAACTATAAGGGGCGTTGTCACACACATTGTCCCACGTTAGCTGGGTAAGCCGTGGCTCACCATGATCAGACGCCTACCAAACTATACTGGATTCACACACTCGCATAAAGGAAGACTGAAAAGAACAGGGAGACTGAAGGAAGACAGGAAAGAAAATGCCATACCTGGAATCAGCGTTAGTAACCACGGCGGCGGCTGGAGCTACGGCGGAGGGTAAGCCAGGTTTTATCTTCATCTTGGTTGAGCCGGTCACTCAGTGCGGCTAGCTCGGCGTCAGACAAATGACCTCCCTCCTCGTCTTGAATCGTGGTCTTCACATTGTCGAGAACATCGCTTTGCGCGACGTAAAGAGTGATGGTCTAGCCAGGAAGAGTGTTGACGAAAATCTGCATCCCACCACGGAGACGAAGTACCAAGTGAATAGTGGACTCCTGCTGAACGTTGTAGTCACTCAGGGTTCGGCCGTCTGCCAACTGCGTGCCGGCGAAAATCAAACGCTGCTGGTCTTGGGGAATACCCTCCTTGTCTTGGTCAGCAGCCTGCATGTCGTCGTCCTCATCAGCTTCGCTATCACCACCGGTAGTATACATGTCGGTGGCGGGTCGCTTGGAATCGCCATTGGAGTCTCCAGTGTGTGCCGTGCGAAGAGAAGGGTGATCCACGCTAGCACCCTGACTGTGCTGCAAGCTAATAAGCAGGGTCAAGCCCAGGAAGGCAAGAAACATGATTCTCATCATGATTCGTCGCAGGGAGCTGCAGCGGGTTGAGCCATGGGGGTCTGGGGTCGAATCACGTTGTTTTATTTAAAACTACACCGCTGCCACCAATGTAATGGGTAGCCGAGTGGTAGGCGAGGTGAAATCAACAAGAATTACTTTTATTCTACTTCTTTCAGGTACACACCTGAGATATAATTATTAGTGAAAGAAGAAGCGGCAAAATAACTGACTTTCTCTCCGGTGCACACCTGGAGGTTGAATAGCTCGTTATTATCAAAATCTCATCTTTTTCAAAACAGAAATGCGCAGCCGCTTTTATGCAGCAGACGCCGTACGCTTACATACGGAGATACACTAAATATACATCAGGAAAGCTCCGTATTAGGGCCTGGTCAGACTGCGGCAAAATCGAAATAATCCTAGGATTATAATCCGAATCTCCATAGTAACTTGCCGCCAGAGCGGCAAAAGCGAGAGTTGACGCTCCAAAAAAAAGCAAGAACGGACCACGCTTTTCCGCTCCAAACAGGATTTGACGCTGATATGCCATTGACGCTGATAATCACTGATTTTTTCATCTCGATATCGAGGAGCTAATTGGCCACGGACAACAACAAAACTCATACGGATGGTTGCAAGGATTGCACTGAAGGTGTTGGCGATCCCCAAGGTGAAGGAATTTGACGTCGTTCGTGGAGATTACCACTTGACGCTCGAAATGAAGTTTGAATTTTCACTCTCCCCCACATGTGTAGTGTGATCGCGATTCAAATTCTGGACGCTGTTCTGTTTTCGTCAGGCAACCAAAATTTGCCGCAGTCTGACCAGGCCCTAAGGCCGAGTAAAAAAAATTACTAGATGATCGTCCTTTTTTTGGAAAAATCGGGGAGGGCGGGAGGATTTTATTTTTATTTTTTTACTTTTTACCCTCTCATGCACACAGTGTACACAACAACATCAAGGTTTTTTTCTCTTTTTTTCTTTTTTTTTCTTTTTTTCTTTTTCTTTCTTCAGCAGATCGATACTGACGTTGTGATAATACTAGTAGTATGTAGTCCATATAGTAAAGAAAGTATTAAACAAAGCGTGCACATGTTTCCTGCATCCGCGATCGGTAAAAAACCAACGATTTCGGCAAAAACTCACGATTTAAAAAATAAAATATTTCTTGGGGCGCTGACAAAAACTGGGGCGGACGGGGACGATCATCTAGCTTTTTTTTTTACTTGGCCTTAGTTCCGTACTGCTTCCGTATTGGTCGGGCAGGGATACTACATAAGCAGAAGAAACATGTAGTTGCTGTTTTCGTAGGTGCACAGCATGATTGTTTGTCTCACTACACAGTTCTAGCGTTGCAATTAGTTCCTCACCCCTGTTGCACTTAGCTCTCACTTTACTTCTATTGTCTCACCTTCCCTCATTCTATTTTAGCACTTTGTTTTGTTCTCGTAACACATTATTGAATGTATATAAATTATTGATTTAGGGGTCGTCCATAATTATCGAACTTTTTTCACAAAACGAAATAATTTCGTTATGGGGTGGGAGGGGGTTGACCAATTTCGCTTCAGAAAACATTGACACATGTGCATGCCCATCATCAGTAGCACACTTGCAACTTTTGTTGTATTATGCATGCATATGTCAAACTTTTTTTTACGTTCTGAGGGGGAGGGAGGGAGGGGTTGGGTCTAAACTAAAAAAATTGGTTGGTTGGTTGGTTTGGTTTTTATTATTTCAGTTCGTTGCCTCAACAGTACAAAGTACAAATATCAAGAGGGACGAACGAAAAGAGAACTATAAAACAGAGCAGAGAGGAAGATGCAACTGAAAGGAAAGAAAAACGGAAAGAAACGGAGAAGGAATGTGGACTGGGCGGATTCATGAACCATTACTAGAGAGAAACGGAGAAGGAATGTGGACTGGGCGGATTCATGAACCATTACTAGAGCAGGGCAATGCATGAACAGAAGGGGGAAGTCCGTCGATATTCATGTTTAAAAAATTCCAAGCCTTATTTTATTGGTGAAATGCATTTTCAAAAAGGAGGGGGTATAGGGATATAGTCAATTTGTCGTCATTTAGAGCGTGCAAAAGTTCTGTAGAAAATGATCTAATGTCCTCACTTCCTTTCAAGTGAGCAGGGAGGGCATTCCACATAAGGGATGCTCTGGAGGAAAAGGAATTGTACCCTACCATGGATTTATACAAGCAAATTGACAAATTGTTTGTTGTAGTTCCACGAGTTGACCGCTTAGAGGTGGGCAAAGGGAAAAGACTGCGTAAGCATGATGCAGGCTGAACAATATGACAAATAAACGTAAACGTAAGAAATTGATAAATGTATCGATATTCAAGGTGTTTTATTTGAAGAGAAGCAAGAAGGAGTGGTACAGCAGCATGATATGAAGCACCGCAGGTAACTCGTACAGCTCTACGGAACAAGGTAAACAATCTCTCCCTGGACTGTGCTGATAGGTGAGATGCGTAAACAGGGAAACAATACTCAAAGTCGGGATGAATCACACTAAGCAGGTACTGGCGACGGGCTACAACAAAGTCATGAAGGTTTACCAAAATCGATTTTCTTGTCACACTCATCAGTGGAAAGCCGTGACTGAAGAATAGCCATACTAAGGGGCCGTCCGTAATTATCGAACGTTTTTCACCAAACGAAAAAGGGGTTCCGCAGGGAACAATCTTGGGTCCTACCCTTTTTAACCTATATGTGCGACTCTTACCGGACCTGGCTGCAGGGAGCGGTGCGAAGCTCCTCATGTTTGCCGATGACAAGACTTTGTACGCTTCCTCACGAGATCCAATAGTATGCGCCGATGTCGTGTCCTCGGCTCTTGCTAAGCTACACAATGAACTAAGATCACTGGGCATGAGCGTTAATGTTGACAAAACCGTGGTCATGAGGATCTTGCCGAAGAATGCTCCTGACGTACAAAGACCCGTTCTTGTTGAGCTGGGCGGCACTACCTTAAGGGAAGTGAGTGTAATTCGCTGCCTTGGTATCCTTATCGATAACAAGCTCTCATTTGTTCCACACGTAGATCACCTCACCGGCAAGGTGTCACACAAGATAGGCGCGTTGCGACGCACCTTCCGCCAAATGGCAGCATTTGCCCGTCGCCAGTACCTGCTTAGTGTGATTCATCCCGACTTTGAGTATTGTTTCCCTGTTTACGCATCTCACCTATCAGCACAGTCCAGGGAGAGATTGTTTACCTTGTTCCGTAGAGCTGTACGAGTTACCTGCGTCATTCGTAGTCGCCTACATGCAACTGTGTCTGATATAGGGTTGCTCTTGGTTCTGCGGTATAGGTCATCTTTTGAGATTGTGTCTGGGCGTCGTATTCCAAGCAGTGATCGCATTTGACGCCGGTGGAATGCGTCTGCCTTGGCCATTGCTATTGACGATAATCCCCAGATCTCGCAATGGTACAGGAATGTCGGCAGTACGATAGCGTTGTACAGGCGTAAGCGTGTCTTCTCCGCTACTTTATCTCTACACAAATGGTGCCACAAATGGTGCCGGATTATAGAGGGACCACTGTATTGCTATTTTTTCTCTTGATAATTTCTCTCATAGCTGACAAATAGTACAGTAGAATATTATTATTCTCTTGGTGAGCCGTTTTCCATGTTTACAATAATATTATTGTCTTGATAATTAGATAACATGTATTTTGTTTCTCAGCTGACAAATAGTACTGGGTATTACAATAATATTCTGATGTCCGTGGGGAATTCTGGAGCAAACGCCTGCGTTTGAAAGGTGAATTTACTACGTACTAAAGATATAGAAAGACTCAGAAGGATAAGAAGTCTATTAGAAAAGTTATAAGAGTTAGCCCATTGAGCCAAGTGGGAAATGTTCAGGATGCCCTGGACAGAGAGAGAGAGAGAGAGAGAGAGAGAGAGAGAGAGAGAGAGAGAGAGAGAGAGAGAGAGAGAGAGAGAGAGAGAGAGAGAGAGAGAGAGGGAGAGAAAGAGTGTGTGTGTGTGTGTGTGTGTGTGTGTGTGTGTGTGTGTGTGTGTGTGTGTGTGTGTGTGTGAGAGAGAGAGAGAGAGAGAGAGAGAGAGAGAGAGACAGAGAGAGTGTGTGTGTGTGTGTGTGTGTGTGTGTGTGCGTGTGTGTGTGCGTGAGAAAGAGAGAGAGAGAGAGAGAGAGAGAGAGAGAGGGGGGGGGGGGGGAGAGGGAGAGGGAGAGATAGAGAGAGAGAGAGAGAGAAATAGTGTGTGTGTGCGTGCGCATGTGAGCGCTCACGCGCTTAGCAGGTCAACCAGCCACCAGGGATGTGTTGCTGGTCCCAGAAACTGCCAGTAAACACACGACACACACGCACGAACCGTGCACAAAAGCGTCCTTCAAACAGCCACCTCGTCCTCGTCGAGGGCAATCGCTGCACCCTCGTCGTCACCCTCGTCGTGTAGCAGAACGTTTTGCTCTGCGTCTAGAGTGGACTGACGCCGCCTGGCAACCACCGCCGCAGCCGCCCTCGCCGTCGTGCCGCGCTCGCTTGACGCCGGCGTTCTTCCCTTGCACCCCATCCGCGTGGCGGCGGTGGTGGTCTCCACGCTGGCCGGTAGTCTTCGCGACACCGGGATGGTGAGCAGTGTGATCAGCGCGGCCACCCAGAACGTCAGGTGGTAGTTGAGCGGCAGCGACAGCCCGCTGTCTGTGCTCCAGGCAAACAGGATGGAGATGAGCGGACCCACACTGCGAGCCACCGCCGCCGACATCTGACCCAGACTGGTCACGCGCGCCCGTACCTGTGTCCACAACAACAACACCACAAGCAAAAACACACACACACATGCACACGCACACACACACACGCACACACACATGAGACCTCAGGTCAACAGAGCCATCAATGCCCCCCCCGCCATCACTGTTGCGTCTCGGTGCAGCCCCATGCACGGTAGTTGTTACGTTTGTGCTAGTCTCAGTACCATTGTCTTTCTGTATTATTCTCGAGCTGCGTATGTGAACATAGTAAAAAAAGAAAAAAAGAAGAAAGGAAACAAGGAAAACGGCGGGGCACAAGTTATGCGTTAGAGTCCACCAACTAAACCAGATTTTGAACAGTCAGACGTGCACAAGGTAGCACCAGACTGACAAGGAGTACTGAGACATTCCACGGCAAGGAAGTCAGCTTGAGCACTGCTCGACAGCGCTAACCAGCGGCCTTCCAACTTGGAAGGTTCATGGACAGTAGTAGAGAGGTTTTGCAGAGCGAACGTTCGCAGTGCTTTTCGCGTTCCGGCTTGCGAAAACAAACAGAACGGCATTATAGCTCACTGTATGACCGGTGGAACATGCTACCTTCCACTGTTCACACTTGCACAGATTACCGCTCATTTATGCGCTCATGCTTAACCTTCCTAGGGGCTCCCGTAAGAAGACCATAGGTCTGTGGGAAACACCCTCGTAAAATAGAAGTTAAAAATAATAATATGGAGGAAATACGGTACTACTATGGGGAGCTCCGCGTGACCAGTGTAACGGCCGATGATGGGAGTTTTCGCTATCGGCGAACCCCATAGAAAGGGTATTAGGCGTTGCACACTCTTGGGGGGGGGGGGGGGGGTATTATAGTCTTGGTAGTATGTACAGCGGACGCGTCGCCCCCGTCACCCGACAAACATACTACTTTCCATTACTAGGAGATTACGGGTATAAAAGAGATAGGATTGGAGTCGACTTGATCTACCTCATTCCAACTCCATCAAACTCCGTCTTTCGCTCAAGATGTTTATGACTTGTATCAGCTGCCTAAAGACCATGAGTGGTCTTCGCTCCTTAGGCGAGACCAAAAAAAAAGAGATTCCCGGGCCCTCCCGCACCAAAATCGAGCCAAAGCCAATTTTTTGTTTGTTTTGAACAGTTCATACATGTACAGTACTGTCAAGAGTCCATATGGACTCTTGACAGTACTGATCGTGTGAGTAGATCTGTGACGTGGAGTCACACAAACCCGAGCTTGTACAACTCCCTGATGTACAGACCAGGGAGTAGTATAATGGTATTGTACTACTCCCTGGTACAGACAGCAGATCAGGGCCAGGGAGTAGTACAATACCTGATCAGGGCCATGCGTCGTTGGCCGAAATACAGAAAAATAGAACGGGTAAACCGCGTACCTGTTGTCTGTAAAAAATGAATAAAAATTACCGGAAAATGCTGTAAAAAAAGTTCAACATGGCATGCACACATAAAGTCATGTACATACATGGGAAAAAAATAAAATTCGCCCGCCCGCACCAATTTCACATGGGTCCTGCCCGGGAATCTCGATTTTATTTTGGTCTCGCCTTAGTAGATCACTTGAAGTGCAAGGGGCATTGGAAGAAGGTGGAGGCCGTTTCTCACCCTATACACAAGTGTTCAGGGTAAGAGATTGGAGTCACCTTGATCTACCTCATTCAAACTCCATCAAACTCCGTATTTCATTCAAGATGATTAGAAGCTGTTCATGCAGTGGAAAAGATCATGACCGGTCTCCGTCCACCCGTGGCCCATATAATGTCCAAGGGACAGTAACGAGGATTCGTGTGCGAGTTGATACAATCGACATCAGTGAGGATGGATTCGTCTCGAAATTACCCGAGTTGACTGTTGACACGATGGAGGTGCAAAGGAGGTCGTTGACCGACAGTTCGATTGCTGACTGGGCGGAACCGTTGGTGCACATCAGAGCGTCCGATAACTCCACCTCGTACTGCGTGTCGTGCAAGAGGTCACGGGTTAATCCATCCTCACACGTATTCGAAGAGTAAACTTTGTAGTCTCTCATCTGATACCAGCTTGATGAAATTATGACGACAAGACTGAATTGTATAATGAAAATACTACCTTACTCCTCCATTCCATTGCGATCTTCAGTGTTCGTTCCATTATTATTATTCTTTGTAATGTATCATATCTGTCAAGAACTGACCTTTGTGACGTGTGTGAGCATGACCATTTTTCGAAAAATTGCATGGGGAGGTGGAACGTGGGGTGGGTGGCTCACGGAAAAAACACCATCATCTTCATTATGACACCATATCCAGCAATGTATCCACTTTTTATACCCACTCCCATCCGGCGCAATTATCAGGTACAACCATTGGGGTACAATCATGATGACATTGTCATACCCCCTCCACCATCTCCAACACCTGAAAAAAATCATTTTATTACGCAAAAACAGGGCGCCTGGTTTTACCCCCAAAAATGGGGTACTATCAATAGTACCCCATTTTTTCGGGCTGGGGCATGTACCTACCACAGAACCGGCCGACACATACTACTAATGTTTGCACGGGATTGGTGTTTTGCATGATTTTCGCTCCAACAAACGAAAGTACGCGTGCAATCGCGCTTGTTTGAGAAGTGGTCTTCATCCGATTATTCGTTTGTTGCGAGTGGCGGCACCCTGAGTCACTACCTGAGACGTGAGCTCTTTGACTAAGTTGACCATGGCTGGAGACCCACAGACAAACGGGTTGGCTTGTGCCGTAATCTGGCGCATCAACACCTGAAATTTAAAAAAATGCATCATCATTGATGGAACCAACTCTGAGCAGTGAGAAGACGTGCAGGCAGGAGATTGGAGATGGTTCCGGAGATAAAGCAACACGCCAAATCTATGGGAAAGCTAGCACCCACGAACCAAGCCAAGAGTAGAGATCAAGCATAAAATGAGGATTGAGGGTGGCTCACCGTGCACCACCGGTCCGCGATGAGCGAAAATTACTGCGAACGTTTGTTTCGCGTTTCCTGCAACTTCCGCGTTCAAAACTGCGAACGTTCGCATGAAGTTTCGCTTCTTGTGACGTCAAACGAAAATTCGCGCAAACATTCGCTCTGCAAAACCTCTCTGGTGATAATTCCAAAGAGGGGAGGCAAGCGCCATCAAACCGAACACAAGCTACATTCCAAAGCCCAGTGGAATGCTGGCTTGGTACGATAACGGGACGGTAAGACAATTAACCACAACTCTACGACGCAAAGCAACAACCACCCAACGTGGGAGGTTCAATTTTATCAAGGATAAGAAGTGAAAGTGAAGCTTCGCGAGGATGAATTGTAATGAACCGAATGCCGATATCCTGCAGTACTGCACTTGGTTAAATGACCATGAAGTATGATGGACAAACTAACTACTATAACATGTATACATGTAGGATCACACGACGATCGTTTCGCAGTACTGCAGGATATCGGCATTCGGTTTGTTACAATTCGTCCTCGCCAAGCTTCCCTTTCACTTCTTATCCTTGATCAAATTGAGCCTCCCAAGCTGGGTGGTTGTTGCTTGGTAGAACATGTAGTTTTAGGTGTTCTAACATTTCGATATCAGGGACCTGCCAGGTTTCAGGTGTAATGTAGAATTAGGTGACCAGCCTACCCTTCATATACAGTTAACACTAAAAAAATAAAAATAAAATATAAAGTAAATTATCGTGTCCGTTCCCGAAGGGAACTCATGACGGCCGCTAACACCCGGTAAACCCTAGCGGCAGATGCAGCGCCTAACGGTGGGGGTGAGTGGATGAGTCTCACAACCACTGGCACAAGTGCCGAGAACGACCCCATTAGCTGCATCCATGTACCCCTTGTGCCTGGCCACAAGTTCCCAGTTGACTGTGGGTAGCAGCACGGCTGGAAAAAACCGCTCTCACACTCTAGCACATTTTAGGCAAAATCTAAATGTAGGTGCCTGGTTTATCTACGAATACGTCGCATAGAGATAATTGTGACAAGAAAACGTTCTGGAATACTGTAATTTCGCAAAGTTTCAGTGTACTTAGATTTTCGGTACTTTAGGTGCGTCTTTTTCATACCTAAAATTTCAATACACCGAACAAACACTAACACACATAATCCAATAGGGAACTGCTTCTCTGTACCGAAAATTTCTGTTCACCTAACCTGGCCTTTTGCCCTCTTACCGAAAATATTGAGCACCAAAAATTTCTGAAATTACAGCACTGAATTCGTTGCTATGGTTGTGATATGAGTGCGCATATAGCTTTATTCATTGCTAGCCTTGATTGTTCTTCAACTTGTGCCATTTCCCAGCCTATTAAAGTGTTCTTCGGCGAAGTGTTCTACGACGCCCGATCATCCTGTACAACAGGCAGCCCAGCTGTGAAACCAACATGAGATAGCGTCACTGGCGCCTGTGCCGGCGCCCTGTGCACTACAGCTCCCGAAATCTTTTCACGGTGACAGCGTGAACAAGGCGAAGAGTGTATGGGAAACAGTGCTCCTGGCTACAACCATGAACCGGACGCCTTGTTCGCGCTGTCACCGTGAAAACATGTTACGTATCAGGCAAGGCTTGCATTCATATAGAAAAATCTGCTTCTATTCGAGTCCTGCTTTTATACGCGACACTACCGTAGTGTTGCGTATAAAAGCATGACTCGAATAGAAGCAGATTTTTCGAAGCGCGCCGTGACACAGAAGCACAATTTGAATAGAAGCCGCTCTGTGCAAAGACACGAGCACGTACTTGCACAGCTCATACGTGGCGGTATGCACTGCACAGTGTGCACTGATGAGGTTGACGTAGAAGCATGTTTTGAGTAGAAGCATGGTTTGAACCCCGGCTTACACGGCCGTAAGCACCTGCTTTTATACGCGACATTACGGTAACGCCCGAAATCTAGCGCTGTGGCCCAGTGTAGGGGAAGTCGGCTGATAAAAATTACACAGTGCACCGTCCGGGAGACAGGCATGATGCACTCACACAGGGACATTCGCAACTTTGCACGTGTACAAACACGCACGCGCAAAAAACGCACGCGCAAAACACACACACACACACACACACACACAAACACACACACGGAGGCTGCACACGAGAACTCACCGATGCGTCGCACGAGTTGTTGATGAACACGTTTGTGCACGTGAACGCCATGATCATGGAGAGGAAGACGGGCAGTCGCATCAGCAGCACCGTCGGCCAAACCCACCAGTCGAGGCACGCCAGGTACCGGAACTCACTGACGCGCTGGTCGAGCGGAATGAGCTCGATCTGATCCTGCGATACGCGTCCGCACTGGTCTAGGGTGACTGTCGTGTAGTTCCACAGCAGCTCTGCGGATGAATTGTCCATGGCGCGACCATGCACGGGCAGTGCAGTGGACGGTGACGACACCGTCGTGTTCAGCGAGCTCCAGACGCGGGTCCGTGCCGTGTAGCAATGCTCGGGCGCGCCACCGCTGAGGTTGTAATATTTCGACTCCTTGTAGTTGTCGTACGCTCCCCCGGCCGTCGTGGGGTTCGGCGATGTCTGATTGGCGAGCGCCGCGGCAGCGGGTTGTCGCGGCAGCGGGTCCTGCGAGCCGACGATGCTCGACAGCCAGGGCGTGAGGAAGCAGCCGAGGGCAAACACGGCGATGGCGCCTTGGTGCAGTCGCCGATAGCCGAAGCGCTTGGCCAGGCGAGGGTAGAGGAACATCTGCGAGCCGAGCTGGAAGACGGCGATGGCCGAGTTGAAGACGCCGATCTCGGACGTGTTGAAGCACAGGCCGCCGTGGGAGTAATTGTTGACGAGCAGCAGCGGCAGCGTCTCCGACACCATCATGCCCGTCAGTGCCAGGATGACGTATGAGGAGACGGCTAGGCGGATGGTGCGCACACGCAGCAAGCGCAGGATGCGCGCGTACATGCGCAGTCCCCGGCAGCACCCGCCTTTGCCACCGTTGCCGCTACCCCGAGGAGCGGATGACGAGTCTTCGAGCAAGACAGCGACACCATCATCACCATCGTCAACAGCAGCCGCAGCATCATCAGTACCAAAGTCGTCATTCCCTGGCTCGGGGAGATTACGGTAGCTGCGACGGCCGTGGCCAATGCGATGTTGGATGCGAGCGGCAATGCTCCTTTGCCTGTTCCGACGTTCTCGTTTCCCCGCGTGGTCCTGCCCGGTGATAATCTTGGTTTGCACGGATGTTGTTGTCGATGATGTTGGGCCATCTCTCGCACTTTTAGATGATGCAGCCATCGTCACCACCAGAGGCGATTCGGTTTTGTCTCGATGCGGCCGGCCATTATGTTTCCGTGGTGACGACGCCACCGCTCTCAACTGCACCTGCTCGCCGCTGCCAGTGGCTTCACCAGCACCACAGTCACCCAGTGTGGCCGCGGCGGCTGCTGCGAATGATGAGTCATTGATGACATCATCACCGTCACCTATGACATCATCATCATCACCTATGGCGTCGTCGGCACTGCTGGGCGCGGGCGAGTGCGGCGCGTGTTTCTCCACCGACGGCAGCGTCTCCTTGAGGAAGAGCAGCGACATGACGAAGCTGACCAGGTTGACGAGGACCACGATGAGGCAGGGCAGCAGGTACGGGTGTGAGCGCCAGAACTCTGTGTCCATGCTAGCGTACTTGGCCGACGGCTTGTAGAGCAAGCCGCTGAGGCCGGGACCTAGCAGGCCGGCCACGCCGTTCGAGAAGCCGATCAGCGCGAACATGCGCGCCCGCGTGCTCTCGGTGGACAGCTCGCCGAGCAGGGTCTTGGTGACGGCCATTGTACTGGCCACCGCGCCCCAGCAGAGGCGCGCAATCACCGCCCACGCAAACGACCGGCTCAGGCCGAACAAGATGACGAAGACGGAGGAGGCGATCGGCGACATGATCATGATGGGTCGACGGCCATAGCGATCTGCCAACGTGCCCCACACCGTACTGCCTATCAAGTCACCCACTGAGAAGGCACTGGCTAGAAACCCAGCGTAGTACCTGCGAAGAGAGAGACGGAGAGAGAGAGAGAGAGAGAGAGAGAGAGAGAGAGAGAGAGAGAGAGAGAGAGAGAGAGCCACACACACACACACACACACACACACACACACACACACACACACACACACACACACACAGACACACATGTACGCGCACACACACACACACACACACACACACACACACACACACACACACACACACACACACACGCTCACACACACACACACACACACACACACACAGAACGATAAACTTTGACATTCTGAAACCGGACACTGGCCATTGGGGACTGCGCACCACTTCAGCTGTTGTGATGTAAGACATGGTATCTTGTTTGGCAACGGCATGCATACGTCCCCTGGAAAGATCAAAAGCTCACTCCTTGTGGTATGCCCAACATGTATGCTGCCCTAACAGCCGAGTGGGATGCATGTGTACCGGAAGATATTGCTTTCTTTGTTGAATTCTTTATTCTCACGATGGCACCATTTGCAGTAATAAGAGATAAGTTTACGAGAAGGTGAGATGCTGTGGGTGGGGCTGTGGGTTATGCAGTTGTTGCTTTCTTTGTTCAATACTAGTGCACTCATACCTTTATCTGGGCGGTCCGGGGACCGGGCACTGCCCGTAACTTCGAAATGTCTGTAAATCCAGATCACACACATTTCGATGGAGAAATGCCATAGATACGGCATGACGTCATCATTTCCACAAAAAGTGACAAGAGGGTGGCAATATTTCCACTGAAACGCGCCCAAAGGCCCTGAAAGGGTGCCCGGTAGACCGAAGTGCTCGTAACTTCGGCGTCCGGATAACCAAGGTACGAGTGCACATGGTAAGGCGAGAGGAGGAGACGAGGGACCAAGGTGGTGCTCCCCCACTCCCTGCAAATCTTTCCATGAAATGCTGGGCCCACAACGTCAAAGGCCAGGCTTCACAAACCCAGTACAGAATTCCCATGCTGCAATCGGTGTAGACGGTCGGTTCTAAACCCCACACGTTGGAATAGGATCAGGTTGGGCCGCAATTTGGACAAAATCAAGCTTGCGATGCCCCCCCCCCCCGAGTCTCAGTCTTTTTATTCCTCGTACGAACTGCAAAGCTTTGGACGCTGCCAGTAGTACTGCCGTGGACATGGAAATCCGGTCGAATGCGCCGTCAGTGCGTACAGAACGGTGCATGCACGGTGCGCGTGTTGATCGCATGCGAACTCACGGCTGCATGGCCAGCGCACTGGGGGCCGCTTGACCTCCGACTGGATTTCCATGTCCACGACAGTACATTGGTTTGTTGTTGTTGTTGTTGTTGTTTGTTTGTTGTGTTTTGTTCTTTTTACGAGAAACCACGAACCTCGAGAACAGAATACTGCATGATAGAGGTGGCTGCAGACTTTGCACAATACGTACCCTAACTCATTTCTCGGTCGATCCACAAAGTCCTTGGTCATGAACGGCAGGAATGGCATCACCATCAGCAGGCTGAAGAAAAACGAGAAGATACTCAAGTACGCCGGTGCAGTCGCCAGGATGGGGAACTTGTCCGCGTCCTTACTCGCCCCACCGTCCGCTTCTGAGCTGCCGTTGCCACGGTGATTCTCGGCACTCTGGGACTCCGTGGTTGTCATGGTGAAGTCAGTTCTGCCTGCGACGTCCAAGTACGGAATATGCTCACGCTCCTTTTACTGACGTACACTCAGGCCGGCAATTCTTGTATTGATCAACGGCAGCTAGCTCGCCACCGACTGACACTGAACGAAATTATAAAATTATAACTTATTTCCACTCAAGCCCGGGTACAAGGCCACACAAGTCCAGTACTGATGCAGCAGTAGTAGCAGTGTGATGCTGCACTACTCGGCCTAGTCCGTATTACAGGAATTCTATTCGGATTAACCGGACGTTCAGCACATTTCTCTTCAGGATCGTCACCAACTTTCCACGTGTCCACTACCTCCGTAGACAACTGACTCACAGCCATCTATCCGGCAAACCGTGCGGGCTCGAAAACGCTGCGCGTAACCCAAGAGCTTTCTCGCAGATTTTCACGCGGCTACCAGCAACAACAAACTGGCACCAAGTAACTAGCTTACGTTCAGGTCATTCAATGAAGTAGTTGTCATGAACACAGAGGGACGAAATGTGACAAATCGAGGTAGGTCTCGTCAATGAAGGTCCCGTCTTCGTCTACTACTGCATACCAGGCAAAAGAATCAGGCTGATAAATGTGCCGACGAGACGACTGATAGCACAGTCCAGCCAGGACAAGCGACCACGAAGAACAAAAGGTGAAGGTACTAGGTGAAGTCTGAACTCTGGTATGGGTAAAAATGAGCGAAATGAATAGAACAGCCGAGTCAGGATTTCCGAGTGCTCAATCATGCGCTGCACCATCTGTACTGTACTCTGCATGCGCTCTATTGATCTACAGATCTGTGTGCGCACTGACTGCGCAGCGATATCGCATGTACTGTGCACGTGCACGTGCAATAAACGCAAAATATGTGACGTCAAGGCAGCACGTGATGTTGTGAAAGCTCGGGCGCCGGGCCGCCGGGCCCAAATAATGGACCGTATGCGTGTTAAAACAAAATGGCGTCACGATTTATTGAAAGTGGTATACTAGTATAGTAGTTGGTGGTACGAGTGTTCAAAACCATTTTAAAATTAATTATTTTGAACTTCATACTGTTCGTCTTCTTTTTGACATGCTCTCTTTCCATCGTCCTTAGCTTTTGTTTGTTGAGAGCTGTTTTGGCTTTCTCCTATACCTCTGGGGGATGCCAAGTGATGGTTTTGAGAGGCTGGTGATGGCTGTCACAGTGAGCGAGAGGTTGCCGATCGGCGTCGTCCTCGCTATAGCGATGAAAATACTAGTTGCTGCGCACCTGGCAGATATCACAACACGTCGGAGCGTCCAGGAGCAAAGGAATCTTGGGTTTTCACTGGAATCTAGTCCCTCCAGCATCGTGTAGCCCACCGTCGGTGAATGGCGGTCCAGAAAGGTCGAACCTGGTCTTCTGCAGCATTTCGCAGTCCTGCGAGGCACACTGAATACGCCTGTCATGTATTCTACAAATAAAAATCACGAAGTAGTGGACTTTACAGTGATGAGTCTATCCTGTATGCTGCAAAAGACGCAGGAAGTGTGACTGGTGTCTGTACACTCAGTGACTGGACGCCAACACCCCAGTCTTCTCCTGCAGGATCTGTTTGACATTGACATACCGGTATGCAGTGGGTTCGCATTGGCCTGGTTTGGCAGCTATATGCCTGGGTGGATGTAGCAGGTTTGCATTGGCGCGTCGTCCAGTCCGACATTTTCTTGTAACTGTGGAGTACCGGCAGGGTTTGAGAGGTTGCTCGTGCTGTGAACACATCTCTACTGCCTGTCTCGTCCTGGAAGTGCCGTCTCGCCGCTTCCTTGCTCTACAGTCACGCCGTTATTTCGCTTTGTTTCGTGGTGCAGCTCAAAACCTGCCCAAACAACTGTGAGCTCGCAACATGGTATGGACAAATTGCACCACTCATGCTGGTTAACTAAAACCGGGATAGTCGAGTAAGCGAGTTCACTCCCTGGGCCATGGCAAGATCTGTTCAGCGCGGGCTATTCCAACCTCCAAGTGCATAGTCACCGATCGATCCATGCGATGGTGGTTGACCTACAAAGAGCCAAGGTCTACGAGTACTACTATTGGATGCTGTCTACATGCAGTCAACAAAATCAAAGTACCTCAGTATGCCCCAGAATAGGGCATGTGCATCTATAGCACGACACAACAGGGGTTCTGGCGGCACCTGTCAAACAAGCAGTAGCGACTAGTGCCAGCTACCTATTGGAGGCTAGCCGCTACAGTCTGTCACTGGAGATAATTATTATGTTTACTGTTTAGACTGAGCACAATCAATGATGCCCAATCAATCTGCCCAATGTGTGTTCTGTTCCACCTAATTATAACGTCCCATCGCATCAACCCTACTACATGCACATGTCATCACTCTAGCACGACTTGTGTTATTATTGATTATTTTGATTCGCACGATAAATAGAGCACAATAAACGTTAACTTGACCGAAGGTTAAAGGCGACTGCAGATAGAGGAACACATCGAGTTACAGGTATCTGCATCAATACAGTATCAGACAGAAACAAACAAAAATGAGAGGTACGCAGAAAAAACTCTCGTAAGCCCAAGGGGAAGTGGTTGATGAGGGATGAATGCACTCTCCACGCTCATCTACACTGTTCGTGGAAATGCACACATACATACAATAATATACAACATAGCAATAGCATGCACAGAACCGAGCAATTTCATGTTCACACATGCAAGCACAGACCTGAACATTAGTACCAAAAGCCGATACAGACAATATCCCCATACACACAGACGCACACACACACAATGTCCCATGTATGCGCCCGTGGCGAGAAAACCACGCAAATCTACAAATGCACTGGATGTGAACCCACAGATTTTCTCTGATAGCAACGATAGCGGATCTGATTCTGAATGAAACACACACACAATACAATCATTGAATGCCCATCCGCAGATGATGGCAGGTCCTGAAAGAACAGGCAGTGTTCCAGTGATGGGGAACAGAACTTCGAGTGGCGAGTGAGGTATACACACACACACACGTGCGTGCGCGGGCACACACTAAAGTATTCAGAAATAGAATCGACATCGTAGTATTCATTGGTTGGGGAATGGAAAATAAAATAAAACATTGCTGTAGGTTATTGTTGTAAGGACACTGGGAGCACAACAGAAAGGTAAGCAACTTGCTTTGAAGCAAAGAACAGGCATTATTCCACGGATCTCAGAAGGAACGTTCCAGATTGCTGCACTGGCAACAGGCGGCCTGCATGTGCGCGGCCCCTGCAGTCGGTCCAGCTGCCGGCCTTGCAGTGCTGAAAAGAATGTGCAGTACAGCATGTCACATGGTATCGCAGCCTGGACAAATAGGCGCTGGGAAGTCCTAGTTATGTGCTCACCTACACCACGATGCACCAATCTTCTGAGCTACTTTGGCAACAACTTTGTCCACTTGAGACTCCCATGGGCTGAGCCAGTTGTTGAGGGCTGCACCAAGGTGGACGGCAATGACCGCTGATGGCAAGGCAATCCATGACACACAGTCACTAGGGCATCGTCAACATGGCGCTGAGGCTGGATCGATAAAATCAACCTTTAGGCTGCCGCGGGGTTGACAACGAGGACGCTGTCTCGAAGCTAGTCAGTCAGCCTGGTCACCACCATTGACGAACCTGTCGCCACCGCCAGCAGTGGCGGTAGGTTGTGACAAGTGTGGTGCAATATTGTCAGCAAATTCAGTACTCAGGATAAGATGAGTGACAAAGGGAACGTTGTGTTTGATAATATTGAAGTGAACAGGGATGATCACGAACCCTGCGCGTACTCCACCGTGAGTTACAAGAAAATTCCGGACTGGACGACGAGCAAACACCAACCTGCTACATCCAACCAGGCAGATACTATTACGATAGCTGCCAAACCAGGTCAATGCCGACCTACTGCATAATGTCAATGTCAAACAGATCCTGCAGGAGAAGACTGGGGTGTTGGCGTCCAGTCACTGAGTGTACAGACACCAGTCACATTTCCTGCGTCTTTTGCAGCATACAGGATAGACTCATCACTGTAAAGTCCACTACTTCGTGATTTTTATTTGTAGAATACATGACAGGCGTATTCAGTGTGCCTCGCAGGACTGCGAGATGCTGCAGAAGACCAGGTTCGACCTTTCTGGACCGCCATTCACCGACGGTGGGCTACACGATGCTGGAGGAACTAGATTCCAGTGAAAACCCAAGATTCCTTTGCTCCTGGACGCTCCGACGTGTTGTGATATCTGCCAGGTGCGCAGCAACTAGTATTTTCATCGCTATAGCGAGGACGACGCCGATCGGCAACCTCTCGCTCACAGCCATCACCAGCCTCTCAAAACCATCACTTGGCATCCCCCAGAGGTATAGGAGAAAGCCAAAACAGCTCTCAACAAACAAAAGCTAAGGACGATGGAAAGAGAGCATGTCAAAAAGAAGACGAACAGTATGAAGTTCAAATGGTTTTGAATACTCGTACCACCAACTATCACTTTCAATAAATCGTGACGCCATTTTGTTTTAACATGAATATCGCGGATTAATTAACTAATCCGCGATATGCGTGTTATTAGACAAAATGGCGTCACAATTTATTGAAAGTGGTATAGTTGGTGGCAGGGAGTCGTAAAATACATTTTACGACTCCCTGGTACGAGTGTTCAAAACCATTTGAACTTCATACTGTTCGTCTTCTTTTTGACATGCTCTCTTTCCATCGTCCTTAGCTTTTGTTTGTTGTGAGCTGTTTTGGCTTTCTCCTATACCTCTGGGGGATGCCAAGTGATGGTTTTGAGAGGCTGGTGATGGCTGTGAGCGAGAGTTTTGCCGATCGGCGTCGTCCTCGCTATAGCGATGAAAATACTAGTTACTGCGCACCTGGCAGATATCACAACCCGTCGGAGCGTCCAGGAGCAAAGGAATCTTGGGTTTTCACTGGAATCTAGTTCCTCCAGCATCGTGTAGCCCACCGTCGGTGAATGGCCGTCCAGAAAGGTTGAACCTGGTCTTCTGCAGCATCTCGCAGTCCGCTCTCGCACGCACACGCTCTCGCACGCACACGCTCTCGCACACACACGCACTCTCACACACACACGCACTCTCACACCACGCACTCACACGCACACACTCTGACACACACGCACACACACACGCACACACACACACTCTCACACACTCTCACACACTCTCACACACATTCACACACACTCACACACACACACACACACACACACACACACACTCTGCACTCTCACACACTCTCACACACTCTCACACACCAGGCTCTCACACACTCTCACACACTCTCACACACTCTCTCTCACACACAGACACACACACACACACACACACACACACACACACACACACACACACGCACACACGCACACACGCACACACGCACACACACACACACACACACACACACACACACACACACACACTTGTACTTGTACTTGCTCACTGCCAAAACTGGTCACGTGGGTCTCCCCGGGAGAGGGGAGAGAGACTCAAAAGGAATCTTGGAAAGATGACTCAATTGGCCATTGAACCACCCAACGGCCGACACCCCCTGAAATCCCCAAACTAGGGTGGATTTGAAATGATCCCACTTATGGGCTCACCACACCTCAGTAAGTGGGTGAGGACAAGGTGCA